TACCTGGCATGGCTGAAAATGGGATACGTTTTTAAATCTAATCCTCTCATGTGAAATGTTTAGATAACGCATTTAAAGAAATTAGAATAGAATAAACAACTTGGAGTATGTTTCCCTTGGGACAATAGAAATAAGTAAATCATTTCTAGCACTAAAGCTAAAAAATGTCCATCAAGGGAGCAGCAATGGGGCATCTGAAAAGGAATGGGTCTGGAATGGAAAATTGGGGCTCACAGGGCCGGTCTGCAACTTCTGGATGGTGGACAGCTGCTTAGAGGCATGTCGTTTAGTGGCCAGAGTGTGGGGTTCTGAAGGCACATCAACCCATGCTGGAATACCGGCTCTGTCACCAAAACCATTTAACCTTCCAGAGACTGTCTCCTTATTTTTCCCATGCATGGTGGGACTACATGATCATGGTGGGCCTCCTAAAGTATCACCCAACAGAATTTGTAGGCAAAACAGGAACGCAGAAAGCTGCGTTCAGATCAGATCAAAACAGGAAGGGTTCAGATCAGTGGTGGCCTTTACCATGGCCAAGGCTGCCAGTGGGGTTCACATCTCTGTTTCTCCCTCTCCATCCTTTGGTGCACAGGAGCAGGGCCCCCCACACGCTAAGGCACACAGCCCACCCAACCCGTACAGCCTTTTGTCAATGAGCCATGAACAAACCATACACAGAGAGAAGCTTCTTTTTTTTTCTTCAATTTAATTGAAGTTACTTAGAAAAATAATCAGGCTTGAATGGCTTTTCCTGGAGGAAGGTTCATGAACATTTCACGCTTTTGTTGGCAATGTGGAATTCAGCTTTCTTGAACGGTACAGTAGGAGACGGAGAGTTTTCTAAAACAAGCCCTCTACTGCATACAAATAGGTAAGAAAAAAAAAATCACACTCCACAAAGATGTTAAGTTATATGCGCATATATCATACTGAGCATGCTCATAGGAAAACAGTACGGGCAGCCCCTTCTGTACCCAACAGAGTAGCAAACCGAAATTCGCCTGTGAACAGCCAAGGGGCAAGCTGGTTATCGTAGGTCCTGTTGCCTGTTCATAGGGTCCGGTCAGCTGATGAGAAAAGGCTGGAAGAAATAAATGCTGGTTTTCGGAAATTGGGGGAGCCATGAGGTCAGTCCTGCTGACATAGGAGGGGGCCGGGAAGGGATTCTGGTCACACGGATTGCACAGAAGGGGGCAGCTCATTTTGTGTGTGTTGGTGTGCATGGGGGAGGGGCAGTCTGTGAGGGACATGCTCTGACATCACCCACCGGGGACAGAGTCCCTTGGCTTCTTGCCAGTTTCGGACAGGGACTTCTACCTGTTCTACCTGAGTAATCACTACCTCAGCAGTGGGCCAGACCCCACCAGCTAAGTGCGCCAGTGACTTTTTTTTTTTTTTTCTTCCCCTGGGAACTTTCTACCAGCAGGAATTAGCCCCTTGTGCCTCCACACCAGGATGCTATCAGGAGGGTGGAGCTCACCTGGTGGACAGGGAGGAAGGAAGGTCCCCTCTGAGACACCAGAGGTCAACAGACTGCCTTTCTTCCCAGACCAGCTGGGGAGGTGGAGAGGAGGATGGGGAGGGTGGTCCAGAGAAGCTGCAGGAATTCAAACCCTGTGGCTAATATTCTAGAATTTTCCAACCAAAGGGATAGGTTAAGCAGGAATGTCCTTGTAAATACTACCCTAACTGTACCTGGTTTTGAAAACACAGCAGCACCTTTGAAAAGTGGCTTGGAGGTGGGACACCTGCCTGTACTTTTCTCCAGCGAAGCATGCAATGAAAAGCGTTTTCAAACAGTTTTCTTAAAAACAAACAAAAACAAAAACACAAGCTTTTGCTTCCCAGGCACATTTTTACCCATGGATTCTTTTATACCAAGGACACAGAATACTTTCTACATTCTGCAGAACAGTTGATTCAGTTTTTTTTTTTTTAATTTTTATGCCATTAGAAAATAAAATGTGAACACAAAACAAACACAAGGACAAAGTCCCTCATTGCAGAACTACACTGATGTCTTGTCCCCTGAAGGACAGTCTTTCTCGCTTGAGAGAAGATGGATGAAAGGCGGTACTCTGAACACGGCCCGAGTGAGCTCACCCGATCCAACAAAGATGGTGGCGGGAACACAGAGTTTGTGAAATCTATGGGAATTTCCATTGGAAAAACAAAAGCACACGGTGAACAATTCCAAACTCTGGAACTGAAGAAGCACTCCTGAAGGGTTGAGCTCCCTCTGCGTGCTTTGAGCAACCTAAGGCTTGAGGAGTAAGGGGACTATTCTGTGGCCTTATGTCCCCTTCCCTTCCTCTGTCCCCACCACTCAAGACCATCCTCTGCTCCCTTTGGGAGGGATGGAATCATTGCCCAGGGTAGTATCCAGGATTAAAACCATTGCACTTAAGTAAAAGTTTAATTGATTTGATAAAGTACCTCTTGCTATAAACCAGATAGAGATGGATTGGTACTGTTTTATTGTTTTGTTTTGTTTTGGAGAAGGGTCAGGGAAGTCGTTTTATCTTTGATGACCTCAGATATGCTAAATCAACCTAACCAAAGTATATTCTGTGGAACATTTCTGTGAGATCTGCAAAATAGAGTATCCTGGTCACATAAGTTCAGGAAATGCTACCAACTCAATGATGCTTTTGGGGGTTCATAATGCACAGCTTACATCCAAGGCTCTGAAAAGTCCTGTAGAAAGGAAATTGACTTTGTTTCCCAAAGATATCTGACCTCAAAATGCTTTTTTTTCTTTCTCTTTTCTTTCTTTCTTTTTTTTTTTTTTTTTTTTTGCATCACACCAACTTCACATCTCCTAGAACCTTTTTGTTCTGTGGAGCACATATCAGGAAATGCTGGACAATGTTTCATTAGCAGAAGCCCTATTTTGGAGGACAGTGTCCCCTGCCTGGAAACAGGGCCCAGACTCCCAATTCCAGGGACAGCTGAGGTCTGTCGCTCTATTCAGTAAAACACACGGCATACATCTCTGTCCAAGGAGGGCACAGTCGCTGTGCCCCTCACAAAGGGGAGAGAGCTTGGACGAAGGGACACAACATTTTATAAAAAGCCTTGGCCGCCCCCTCCCCGGTGCACACCTCACTCACATTCAATAAAATCATGTCCTCAGTGAGATTCAGCAGCTGCTGCTGAACTGGCTGTGAGCTTTCCAATACAATTCTAATAGTTTCTGTGAATAAATTATTCATTTGTTTGTTGAGAATATTCTCACCCCTTTGCTATATACTGCATCAAAAACAAAACAAAAAGCAAAGCTTACCCACACCCCATCCCACCCCACCCCCTATTATTAGAACTATAGTTATTATATACAGGATTTGCTACCAAATCATTCACTAGTTGTAAGAGGGATGTGGCCAAACTTCAACCGAGGCATCGAAATGGCTGGAAAATGAGAAGCATGTGCAGATGGCAATTAGCAAGGAACAGGAAGTAGAATGTTTCCGACCTTCCGGAGGAAAGGGGTCACGGATTACAGTCGCAGAAGGCTGTCCTTGCTGCTCATGCATGGTGCTTGCCAAGGTGCGGATGGTCTCGGCCTCTGGAGGACTTGGGAGGGGTATGTGCGTGCGTATGTGTACGGGGGGTCCACCTCTGACCTTCACCAGGGGAGAAATGCCAGACCACTCCAGATCCCAAATGTACGAGGTCTGCCATAGCTTCTCACTCTTGCACATGGCAAAGAGGAGAGAACACTTCCATGCGGCGGCGTGGGTGCCGGGGCTGACGGGGCAGGAAGAGGCACTTGGCGAATGATCCTCTTCCCTCCCCCGCCAAGGCAGACATCACTAATCGGTGACAGCTCCCCTCCATGCTGTGCCTGGCGAATCTGTTCTGGGGCTTAAAGGTGGACACTACCAATCCACTGGAGTGGACACATGATGGGAAACACTTTTGTCTTCTCTTGTGTTGGGCGATGAGCCTGGATTACTCACCAAGTGGCCTGTTCTAAGTGTGTGGTTTTCAAATTTGGGCCAGAGAAAAACGCAAATCTGTAGGGGTCATGGACCTTCCGGGGTTGTTCAAAATGGTCCAAACCTCATGTAAAGTCCATGAATATGAGGGGTTTGCTAATTGTCAAGCTGGAAACTGTGTCCACATAAAGCTTCTTGAGGGCCGAGACCATTGGTTTTGTTCCATGCTCTACCCGCAGGGCCTACAATTAGGCCCAGCACATAGCAGTTGCTCAATAAATACTTGCTGACTATAAAGTAACAGCCACTTCACTATCACAACTGGCACTGCCAGTTAAAAATTTCCGTAGAAAAGCCTATTCTATCAGACTGCTAATCTGGTGGAAAAGGAAAAAAAAAAAAAAAAAAAAAAAAGCTATACTCAGCTCTTCTCCTTGGGTTAAAAAAAAAAATCACATTTTTTTTTTTTCTTAGCGCAAGGGACTCTTGGGTTGCTTGGAATCTGTTTGGAATCAGTCCCTTGCAAAGGTGCCTTTTTCTATTTATTTCTCACCGATTTCCAAGAAGGGTGGTATCAACAGACATCGCAAGGGTTATCACACAGTTAACTCTGTGAGCGGTTAGTGAGGAGAACATTCATGCCCCAGAATGAGCTTGTAGCAAGCACAGAACAAAAACACACATTTCTTCTGCAAAGACATTAGGATCTTGCTGCCACAGAAAGAAATCTACACAGAGACCATGTTTAAATAACGATAAATAATATTAATTAGAATTTCTGGGATGCACAATTTGTGGAATTCACCAGAGCACAAGGAAACCTCTGAGGCAGTGTTGCAGGTATTCACGTCTAGGCACAAGGACACACCCAACCTATTCCCCTGCAAAGACAGCCGTCCTTCCCTACTAAGGATTTTAAATAATTCTCAACCATGCTGCTCGCAGCATCATTCCCCAAAGAAATATTACTTTACAAAATAACCCAATATCCATATAATTTCTTTTGACAAATAAACATCTTAAATTAAAAAGCACGATTCTCTCCCCTCTCCCCATGCCCCCTTTACTCCAACTTCAGGTAGCTTGGCACTGAGTAATTGAACATTAAAAAATCGAGTTTGTAGACTTCGTATAGCTGCGTTTGGTGCTCCGAGCTGATGTTCTGGAAGAACTCTGTGGTCATCTCGTCAGTAGTTCTCGTAGACTTGGCATAGGTGGGGAACCTCAGGTAGCTGCCCACGCCCGCCAGCCGCAGGACGTAGTTGGAGTCCTCCTCCAGCGTCTCGTACTTGCCCACGAGGTCGTAGTGGATGTGGCACGGATGGCAGAGCGAGTGCACGGTCTGCCAGTGCTCGTTGAAGGGCTCCTCGCGCTGCGTGTGCGGGTCGATGAGATAGGCCACGAACTCCTCGAAGCGCACGTCGTCACCCCTGCGCAACGCCTCCTGCGTGGCGTTCTTGCGCTGCCGCCGGATGATCTTGGTGCCGTAGCGCTTGTGGAAGGACGTGTTGTACTTCTGCGTGAACTTGTTGCGGTAGGCGGACACCAGGCGCTCGAAGGGCTCGCGCACAAACAGGAACTTCATGTAGCTTTTCAAGCGGTGGTTGATTTCTGGGATGCTGTACTGGTTCAGCGTCTTGAGGTTGGCCGCCACGTGCGCCTCGCTGGCCGGGATCTCCATGGGGTCGCTGTACTTGCCCCGCCCGGTGAGCACCATCATGAGCCGCTTCCAGTTGGTGCACGCCACCTTGGGCACGTAGCAGTAGATGAGCTCGTGGTCCTCGTCCACCACCAGGTGCTTCAGGTCGCTGGGGGTCAGCACCCGCCGCTTGCGGCTCAGGGCGCTGTTGGCGCGACAGGTGTCCGTGACCTGGTCGCGCCTCATCTGGTGCAGGACGGCGGTGTTCGAGAGCTCCAGCTGCAGAGGGGACACAAGAGGAACACGAATTCAGTACGGGCGCGGGAGATGGGCCCCTGGGCCGCGTCCACAACCACGACGGCCAGCGCGTCCCCCCCCCCGCCGTGGGCACAGCCGGCCCACGACCGAAATGGCCGGTCCTCCTTCCTAATTCTCCACCCCAGCTGCCTCGACTCATTGGGTTCTTTGTTCCACCATGTTTCCTTTGTGGAGTAATAGTAATGATCAACTCTAGCTTACGCATCACCCTCTACCTGCCTGGCATTTTACTAGTGGGCTTTGCGTTGGCTGTTTTTCTTCTCCCTGTACAACCACGTAGAAACGGGGTTGATTTAACAGTATCAAGGACCCGCCCCCGTTGCCAGGAAGCCTGCTGCCAGGCACTGGGGATGCGGCCATAAAACATACAAGGAGGCAACTGCCCTTATGGAGCTGACCGTCTAGCTGTTAAGAAAGAGGGAACTGAGGCTCAGAGAGGTTAAGTCACCAGCTTGAGATCACACAGTGAGCAACTGACTCCGCACTCAAACTCGGGTCCTCCTGGCAACGGAGGCCACCCACTTTGCACGCTACCCTGAGGTCCAGTACGCCCATCTTCTTGATTGAAGCATGGGGACTCTGGCATTTGATTGATCTACTTTAAAGCAAGGGGATCCAGTTTCTCTACAAGCCTATCACTGTGAACATCTGCTGCCTTTGCGTCTTCTGGTGCCAGTGCCTTGCTGCCTCTGGGAACCCACTTTCCTCCATTCCCAGTTAGTTCCTTTTCCCTCTCAAGCAGCTGTGCTGTGAGAATGGCAGCCTGGAGCTTGGCGACAGGGAGGAAGGCCACCATGCAGGGAGAGCTAGACTGGGAAGGGAGGGTACAAAGAGATGAGAAGACAGAGGGACGTACTCCCCGTGCCGTCACCTCAATCCCTGGGTCCATACATTGCTGAGACCAGACCCCTCAACTCCTGGACTTTTTGTGACATCAGTCGGTACATTTGCTTTGGTGCATAAAGCGGTGTGAGTCTGGATTCTATCGTTTCGAACCCAAATATATGGGTATTGGCATTTACTACCCTCAAGCTTTTCTTCTCTGCCATATTCATCCATTGATGTACCCATTCAAACACGTGTCCAGACCTCACAGTGTACAGCGCTCGGCTCAGCACCCTTGGGAGACAGAACAATTTCCTAAAGGGCTCACAGTCAAGGAGGCATCAGACCAGAGAGAGCTGGAGGCCTCCAAAGGCCCAAAGGGACAGGCTGTGTGTGCTCCTCTGAATTCTAGGAACAAAAGTTTCTCCTCACAGGCCATATATGGGGAGCCGGTCCTTGGAGTCCACGTGGAGTAGGAAACAGAACACCTCACCACCCCGGTGTGCTGACAACCCTACTGTTGTTGCTTAAGGCCATGCCTCCATCTACCCTCCTGAATGTGCAATGTGGTTCTTCCTTTAAGTATCAAGGACATTGATATTAATTATGGTTAAAGCTATAGAGAAACTGGCGCACCACGGCTATGGAATAGCCGGTCTGGGGCTGCAGAGGACATGGTGTCCTGGTTGCCTTCCTGCCCCGAGGACACAGACCTCATCCATGCACTTGTCTTTGATGTCCTCCATGGTCCCGCACCAACCTACCTTTCCAGTCCCATTCCTACTCCGCCCCTGTTCAGAACTAAAGGGAGCTCCAGAGAAATATCAACGATTCCCTTTTCCCTTTGTTTTTTAATTTAAAAAAATTTTTTTAAATCCCAATATAATCGACACACAGTGGTATATTACAGTATATATACCGTGGTATATACAATGTACCTCGTGCCTCATCTGGTGCAGGATATACAATATACTGTTTCAGATACATAATATATTGATTCAGTAATTCTGTACTTTACTCAGTGCTCATCATAAGCATATCCTTGATCCCCTTCACCTATTTCGCTCCCCACACCCCGGCCCCCCCTCCCCCCGGTAACCACCAGCGCTCTATATTTAAGAGTATGTTCGCCTCTTTCTTGTTTTGCTTCTTAAATCCCACATATGGGTGAAATCATATGGTATTTTCTTTTTCTGACTTCTTTCACTTAGCATAATACCTGGTAGATCCAGCCGTGTTGTTGCAAATGGCAAGATTTTATCCTTGAAAAATTCCAGTGTGTGTGTGTGTGTGTGTGTGTGTGTGTGTGTGTGTGTGTGTATCAAACACATCTTCTTTATCCATTCATCTATCTTTAGACACTTAGGCTGTTTCCATATCTTGGCTATTGTAAATAATGCTGCAATAAACATAGGGGTGCATGTATCTTTTTGAACTAGTGTTTTCATATTCTTTGGGTAAATACCCAGTAGTGCAATTACCAGATCATATGGTAACTCTGTTTTTAATATTTTGAGTAACTTCCATACTGTTTTCCACAGTGGCTGCACCACTTTGCATTCCCACCAACAGTGCACGAGGGTTCCTTTTTCTCTACATCCTCGCCAACACTTGTTTCTTGTGATTTTAGCGATTGACAGGTGTGAGGTGATACGTCACTGTGGTTTTGATTTGCATTTCCCAGATGGTGAATGATGTTGAGCGTCTTTTCAAATGTCTGTTGGCCATCTGTTTGTCTTCTTTGGAGAAATGTCTGTTCATGTCTCCTGTCCATTTTTAAGTGGATTATTTGTTTTTTGTGGTGGTGTTTTATAGAAATTCTTCATGTATTTTGGATATTAACCCCTTATTGGATGTATCATTTGCAAATATCTTCTCCCATTCAGTAGGTTGTCTTTTAGTTTTGTTGTTTCCTTTGCTTACAAAGCTTTTTCTTTTTTTAATTTTATTTTATTATGTTATGTTAGTCACCCCACAATACATCATTAGTTTTTGACGTAGTGATCCATGATTCATTGTTTTCGTACAACCTCCAGTGCTCCATGCAGTACGTGCCCTCCTTAATACCCATCACCAGGCTAACCCATCCCCCCACCCCCTCCCCTCTAGAACCCTCGGTTTGTGTCTCAGAGTCCATAGTCTCTCATGGTTCATCTCTCCCTCCGATTCCCCCCCTTCATTTTTCCTTCCTTCTCCTAATGTCCTCCCTGCCATTCCTTATGTTCCACAAATAAGTGAAACCATATAAAAATTGACTTTCTCTGCTTGACTTATTTCACTTAGCATAATCTCCTCCAGTCCCATCCATACTGATGTAAAAAAAAAAGTTGGGTACTCATCCTTTCTGATGGCTGAGTAATAGTCCATTGTATGTATGGACCACATCTTCTTTATCCATTCATCTGTTGAAGGGCATCTCGGCTCTTTCCACAGTTCGGCTATTGTGGACATTGCTGCTATGAACATTGGGGTGCATGTGGCCCTTCTTTTCACTACATCTGTGTCAGAGCTTTTTCTTTTTCTTTTCTTTTTCTTCTTCTTTATTGCTGTAGTCCCAAAAGTGTATTTTTGTTTTGTTTTCCCTTGCCTGAGGAGACATATCTAGAAAAAAAGTTGCTACAGCTGATGTCAGAGAAATTACTGCCTGTGCTCTCTTCTAGGATTGTTATGGTTTCAGGTCTCACATTTAGGTCTTTCATCCATGTTCAGTTTATTTTTGTGTATGGTGGGAGAAAGTGGTCCAGTTTCATTCTTTTGCATGTAGCTGTCCAGTTTTCCCAACATCATTTGTTGAAGAGACTGTCCTTCCCATTGCATATTCTGGCCTCCTTTGTCATAGACTAATTGAGCATATAATCATGGGCTCTCTATGAGTCTATTTTTGTGCCAGCTTTGATTACTACAGCTTTGTAGTATATCTTGAAATCTGGGATTCTGATGCCTCCAGTTTTGTTCTTTTTCAAGATTGCTTTGGCTACTCAGGGTTTTTTGTGGTTCTATACACGCTTTAGGATTGTTTGTTCTAGTTCTGTGAAAAAGTCTGTTGGTATTTTGATAGGGATTATATGGGATCTGTAGATTGCTTTGGGTAGTACGGACATTAACAATATCTGTTCTCCTAATCCACAAGCATGAAATATCTTTCCAGTTGTTTGTCATCTTTAATTTCTTTCATCAGTGTTTTATAGTTTTCAGAGTACAGGTCTTTCACTTCTTTGGTTAGGTTTATTCCTAGGTATTTTATTCTTTTTGGTGCAGTAGTAAATAGGATTGTTGTCTTAATTTCTCTTTCTGCTGCTTCATTATTAGTGTATAGAAATGCAAGAGATTTCTGTATATTGATTTTATATCCTAAAACTTTACTGAATTTGTCTATCAGTTCCAGTAGTTTTTTGGTGGAGTCTTAAGGGTTTTCTATATATAGTATCATGTCATCTGCAAATAGTGACAGGTTTACTACTTCTTTACTAATGTGGATGCCTTTATTTCCTTCTCTTGTCTGATTGCTGTGGCTGACACTTCCAGTACTATGTTGAATCAAAGTGGTGAGAGTGGACATCCTTGTCTTAGGGGAAAAACTCTTGAGTTTTTCACCATTGAGTATGTTAGCTGTGGGTTTGTCATATACGGCCTTTAGTATGTTGAGATATGTTCCTTCTAAACCTACTTTGTTGGGGTTTTTATCATGAATGGATGTTGTACTTTGTCAAATGCTTTTTCTCCATCTATGGAAATGATCATATATGGTTCTTATCCTTTGTATTAAGTTGATGTGATGCATTATGTTGATTGATTTGCAAATATTGAATCACCCTTGCATCCTGGGAGTAAATCCCATTTGATTGTGGTGAATTATTTTTTTAATGTATTGTTGGATTTGGTTTGCTAGTATTTTGTTGAGGATTTTTGCATCTATGTTCATCAGAGATATTGGCCTGTAGTTCTCTTTTTTGTGTGTGTGTCTTTTTCTGGTTTTGGTTCAAACAATCCCCTTTAACATTTCTTGTAAGGCTGGTTTAGTGGTGATGAATTTAACTTTTGTTTGGGAAACTCTTTACCTCTCCCTCTATTCTCATGATAACCTTGCTGGGTAGAGTGTTCTTGGATGTAGTTTTTTCTTTCAGCATGTTGAATAT